CTCCTATAAGTGAAACCAGAAGATATTTTTCTTTTCCCTTCTGGCTTATTTCACTGAGCATAATCCCTTCCAGTTCCATCCATGTTGCTGCGAATGGCATGAGTTTATCATTTTTGATTGTTGAATAGTATTCCATTGTGTATGTATACCACATATTCTTGATCCAGTCATCTATTTTTGGGCATTTGGGTTGTTTTCATATCTTACCTATCATAAACAACGCTTCAATAAACATGGGGGTGCAGGTATCCTTTTGAATTAATGTTTTTCTGTCTTTGGGTAGATTCTTTGGGTAGATTCCTAAGAGTGGAATTGCTAGGTCATATGGTAGCGCCATTTTAGTAGACTGAGGAAACTCCAGACAGCTTTCTATAGTGGTTGGACCAGTTTGCATTCCCACCAGCAATGTAGGAGAGTGTAGAAGAGTTCTACCTTACACCATGCCCAAAAACCAAATCAAATTGGATAAAAGAATTGAACATAAGACCTGAAACCATAAAATATATAGAAGAAAATATAAGCAAAACACTACATGACATGCATCTCAGTAATGCCTTTAAAGACACATCCCTCAAAACAAAGAAAGTGAAGGAAAAGATGAACAGCTGGGACTACATCAAACTAAAAAGCTTCTGTACAGCAAAAGAGACATTAACCAAGATACAAAAGAGACACCCTACTGATTGGGAGAAAATTTGACACACAACACAACTTATAAGGGACTGATCACAAAGATCTACAAAGACCTCACATAACTCAACAAAAACAAAATAAACAATCCAGTCCAAAAATGAGCAGAAGAGCTAAAAAGACACTCCTCCAAAGAGGAAATGCAGCTGACCAACAGGTATATGAAAAAATGCTCAACATCCCTGATAATCAGGGAAATGCAAATCAAAATCACAATGAAATACCATTTACACCAGTGAGAATGGCACATATTTAAAAAAAAAAAAAAAACAGGCAACGACACATCTTGGCAAGGATTTGGAGATCAAGGGAAGATCTATTTCTAGACACAAATGCCTAACAAACGACTTCGAGTACCCTGACTTGTGTCTACTTAGATTTTGATGTGGCATTGGTCAAAACAATCTGAATTTCTTGCTTTAATTTATCTCAAGTCCCTCAGAATATCCCTGAGACTGTTTTTTTTTTTTCAAAGATTTATTTATTGGTGCATATAAGAACTGGGATACAGACCAGAGATGAGGGGGGCGGAGGTGAGAGGATTCACCAGAAACAGAGTGGGGAGCAGAACTACTGAAATACACTGCTGAGGGGAGCAGCAGGCGAGACAGGAGAGGTCTGCCTTGCCATGTGGGTCACTCCCTGGCAGGCCGGGGGTCAAACTCGTGCTGCAGAGGTTGCAGATTGCTTCATAGTGTGGTGCTTAACCCCACGAGGAGGCCCATCCCTGAGACTTTTTGGGTTCCATAATGGCTGCATCTTGTTTCTGGTAGATTGGGGTTACCATTATTTTCCCTTGTTGAAATAGTCTTTCTTAATTCAACTATATGTAATGTTTCGCACTGCCTATAGACAGTTCCTGAGAGTTGTAACGCACTCAGCTTGTGGGTGAAGTCAGTCACAAACCCAAACATTATGGCTCATTAAATATCATTATGAAAACACCGGAGTCTCTCACAATACAATTTCCTACTCAGAAGAATTAAAACAAACTCCAGTACCTCAGGATGTAAGTAACTGGAGCTCCATCCAAGAAAAGCTTACTGGAGATCTGGAAGAGTAGTGGAAGAGGCATTGAACCAAAGGATTTCATGGTTACCCTCACCTGTGTCTAGGAGCCATCCCGGAATTTTTAGCAGCTTTTCTTTGGATACCATTTTTGTTGCCAAAATTGTCTAATTGTAACCCGTGGCTGAAGTCAAAGCCTGTTAGAGGTGGTGCCCCCCTGGAAGGGGGTGCTGGTGAGGATGGATAGGGAAAATGCAAGCAAAATATTGGTGGGGACGGAGACTCTGATAAGAAATATAAGGGAATGCAGAAGCAGTTTCAGGATTCAGCTTTCCAGCATTCAGTGTTTGGAATTTCTGCCCCCATCATTTCGTTCTTCCAGGAGGCTGGTGCAGGCCTCTGAAGGACGTGGGAAGCTTCCAGTAGCCATCTCAGAGGAGAAAAGTTTGGAGGCTTGGCAAAGTTAGCCAAGGGACTGAAAACGTTCCCGCTTTTTTGCTGCAGTTACAGCTTAGCAGGAAGGCGAAGACCCCAGGCCGGGCACCTCACTGAGCTGTGTAAGTGTGGCTGTTTGTTGGGTCCTTTGGCTGCTGCAGCTGCTGTTTTGAATGTCACTTGTCTGGTGCTATGCTGGGGCATCTCGGCAGCTCCAGTGAGCATCTCCTATTGTGTCTTATGCTGTCTTTATGAGTTTAATCCTGCCCTGTAGTCTGGCTGCCATGTGCTCCATGTTCTCAGGGGCAGAAACATGCCATCTTGGGAGCATTTGTGTTTAGGACTTAATACACTGGACACTGCTTTTGGTGAGGAAAACTGGCATTTGTGGCCTCAGGAAGTTTTGTTTTCCCTGGCTTGTTAAATAAATCCCATTGTTGTTGTTCTCTGAACCTAAGCAGTCTTGCATTTGTGCCTGGGTGAAGAACTCAGATGGTGACTGGTATACTATTTGGGCAGCCATAATTGGGGCAACTAGTACACAGATGGGCCTTGCATTTGCAACCATGTATCGTGTGGCTATGGGCACCGGTGTAAAGGGTGCTGGGCATTGGCTGTTCTACCTCTCTCAGTGTGGGAGGCTCTCTTGTTCTGTCTGCCTGCCTGTGTATGGTCCCCTTTTTCAGCATTAAAGTATGGCAAAATCTACCAAAGGCTCTATATATTCTTGTATCTTCTGTGACAGCTAACAATGAACCTACCAGGCATGGGATGGTTGCACAACAAGCAGGTACTCAATTTATGAGTCAATTATAAGTAGGATTTGTATCTAAGTATTTCTCAGAAAACTTTTCAGATATTTTAAAAAGAGATCATTTCATTACTGCCTTAAGTATTAGCAGGGACACTGTCATACATATGGATGCCAGATAAAATGTCTATAAATCCCTATAAATTTAAATTTGAATTTTTATGTTACCCATTTAGACTGAAATTAGGCCTAAATATTATCCTTTCATATACTGCAAAGTTGCATGAGCCTAACAACTCATTATTAACCACTCAATTAAAGAGACATAAAATTGCAATATGTAAGATCTCAATTATTAATTCTACAAACACTGGAAATGATTTTCAGCAAACATATGAAAGGAACTGAGTACCAAAAAAAATGTATTTTCTCTAAAGAAATACATAGTTTGTTTTCTTTGTTGGTAAACTGAGGCTTCAATATTAACTTGCTTGGATTTATCACAAACATAACTTTATTTACTTATTTATTTTTATTGAGGTAACACTGGTTTACAACCCTGTATATAACTGAGGGGAATAGGTTCACACCTTATCAGATGGATGTCACCATGATGTATCCACCACCAAAGCACCCCTTTATGAAATACCTCTGAGTCCCCACCACCCTTTGTTCCCAGCCTCAATCTAATTTCACCTCTAGTAGCCTCAATTCTGCAAATATGTATAACTTTCTTTTTATGATCAAAGTCTCATAATGCATGTTGTTCAAGATGTTTATACAGGCCCACACTGAACTATGCACACATCAAGAAAGCACAGACCTGGCTAACTGACAAGGAATATTTTCAAGAATGGATTTAACACGTGATTCCTTATACAGTTGCAGATGCTAACAGTTTTATCTCAAATTTGTAATGAATTCCCTTTGTATGACCCTTTAATTTAATTTAATTTTATTTTTTTTTAAAGATTTATTTGTTTATTTATTTATACAAGCACTGGATACAGTCAGAAGCACTGGAGGGTGAGAGAATTCACCAGAGCCAGAGCGGGGAGCAGAGCAGGCAGAAGGACCGAAGTACACTGCTGAGGGCAGCAGCGGGCGGCAGCAGAGGTCTGCGCGCCATGCGGGACCCTCCTCCGGTGGCCGGGGAGCAGCCGGGGATCGAACTGGTGCTGCAGAGGCTGCGGGCAGCTTTGCAACCCAGCGCTCAACCACTGAGCCACCGGGGAGGCCCAACCCTTTAATTTTAAATAAATCGTCACTACCACTTTGTTTCACTTACCAGAAACTGTACAACTTAGGCAAGTTATCTAACCTCTGAATGCAATTTATTCTCGGGAAAAATAATTATTTTTCAGTCACAGACGTTTCAAAGAGTTTGAATATTTTCACTGCATACTTACACTCCCTTGTATAAGTTTTTTTGAAAGCATATGTGAAGGCTTATGATTATGAGGTGTGATTTATTATTTTTTATAAATATCTATGAAAAACTTAAACCTAAGCGTACAATTCAAGATTAAAAAAAAAACAAAAATCCCAAGACAAGCTAATACTGCTAACATAATGGAAGTTTATAGAAAATGCTACTTTCCATTTATTAAAGTGGTTTTAACTACTGCCTTGAACTGATTTGAACCCTTAAGTGAAAGGGTAAGTAACTGATGTATGTAACATCAGCATGTGACTGATGAGGGAAAGCAATCTTTCACGGAGTAAAGATTAGTTCTGTCTGTGACCACGGTTAGAAAATCACATTTTAGGCCTTGCTTAGCAACGTCAAGGCAACTCATTAAAAAAAAATTTTTTTTTTACACCTTTTGCACAGAATTTTGAAACAAGTGAGCAACAGCCCTAGTAAATTTCTGAGTTCTCAGCGGGTCCTTCTTACGGTCCAGCCATCACCCGGGACACGAGCACAGGTCTCTGAGAAAGCACAGGCAGCCGGCGCCTCCCCGAGCCGAGGGCGCCGGCCTGGGCGACATCCGGCCGCGGGCAGCGAGCCCCGCGCCCCGCCCGGCCCGGCCCGCCTTCCTCAGAAGCCCAGGAGCCGTCGGCGGTTTCCCGCGATGACGCGGGCCGCACGGCCCCCGCGCCGGGCCCACAGTGCACTGCGGCAACGTGTGCGCGCGCGGCTCCAAGGCCGAGCGACCGCGGGAAAATTCCAAAAAAGTCAAAACCAAACAAAAACCCAGAACGAGGCAAAGCCCAGCTTGAAAGCCACAGAGCCAGGCAGCAGCTCCTCTCCCGCCACTGCCCAAACTGCTGAAGCAGCTCTGACGCGGACCACCCGGTAAGCTAGAAGCCGCAGAAGCATAGCGAAGGCCGCTACTTCCCTCAGGGGCCCGGCCAACACGTTAGCTCCGGTGGGGGTGGGGGAGTGGGAGGGCGCGCGGGGTGGGGGGGGGTGGGAGGGCGCGCGGGGTGGGGTGGGGCACGGGCGGGAAGGCTCGCGAGAACGTAACGTCTCGGTGGGTGAGCCGGGATCCGGCCGAGTGAAGGGGCTGACTGGGCGAGGGGGGATACGGCGCGAGGTGGCAGCAGCCCGCGGAGGGGCGTGTGTAGCGCGAGGGGCGTGGCCATGGGGCGTGTGTAGCGCAAGGGGCGTGGCCATGGGGGCGTGGCCATGGGTGGCGGGCTCAGTGGGTGGAGCCGGCGGAGAGGTCTAGCGGGAAGAAAACCCCAGATCGGCGGGAGGTGGGCGCGCGCCTTGGTGGCGTCCCTGTGCTCAGGCAGCTGTGTCCTCTAGAAGGAGATAGGCGGAAGGGCATGCCTTGGCCTTGGGCCGTGGGCCCTGGGAAAAGCTCACCTCTTTGAATCCGGCGCCCTCTCCAGCTGGCTAGTACTGCGCGCTCATTGCCCGCTGCCCCTCGCCAAAGCCTTGAAGGGGTGGAGGCCCCGTTAGAGGTGCCGGGGCCGGCTGTTAGACCCCCTCAGGCTTCTCGTTCTGGAGGGGAGTAGGGTTCTGATGGGAGGCCTTATCCGCGCGGCTTTTCATTTGGACGCCAGGCTAAATGGAATCTAAAGCCCTTAGGGATGTGAGTGGTGGGTGGTTGTTGGCTTCCTTTTTATTTATATTTTTTATTTTTCACGTGTTATGTTCACAACCGTGAACCTTCTGATCATTTTGTCTGCACTGCCGGGGCGCAGGGCGGGCATGGGGCGGGGGGAGGGCAGTGTGTGTTGATATTTGGAGTTTTTGAAACACGAGAAATTTAGTACTGGAAGTTTAAAGAAAGAGATCGATAAAAATTTTTCCAACAAAGGCCTGTATATGCTTTGCCTAGTCTGAAATGGTTGGAAAACTCCAGGACTCCTGGTTTCATTTCGTGCTAGTGTTCATTTTAACTGATGTGCGTTACTTATTTAGCAAATAGGGTACTTTTGGGCAACCGAACATCAGCTGCTTATGGATATCACTCTCCTTCGGTGATAGGCAGCTCGTAACATTTTCTCATTCCCCTTGAGGGGGGAGCAAAGGTTGTTAAAAATGGCAGAATTCATACCATGTGTTTGTGTCACTTATTACATAAACTTAGGAAACATATTCTATGTGACTTTATCTCTTAAACTTAAATTGATATTTCAGTTTTATGTACTGTACCATATTAACATGGAAATAAGCACTAAGACATTCATTACTCATTGCTGCCTCAAAAAAGAAATTCGATTTTACTAGTTATATCTAAAGCCACTTTCCCTTAAAAGTAGATCCTCTTTCTTAGAATTGGAGGAATGCTTTGGCATATTGTATATCTTAATTCATTTTTGTTATTCATCATCCTGATTTCTTTAAAAACATATACTAAGGCTCAACTACAGGGAATTATGCTCAGTGAAATAAGGCAGAAAGAAAAAGAAAAATGTCGGATGGTTTCACTTATAGCAGGAATATAGAGGAACCAAATAAGACTTCAGTGTGAAAAAATGACAGTACAAAACAACAAAGCAAAAACAGACAATTCTAAATCAGAGACATACTGCAGGGGAGGAGGAGGGAGAGGCATCAGAGGGAGGGAGGGAGGGGCACAGGGGACTGAGGTGATGGTGCACGGGTACACTGGTGAAGGAAACTATGGGGACTGCACCCGAAGGGGTGGGGAAAGCAAAATATTGTTTAAAAATGAACAATGATGTAAAAAATTTTTAAAAATTAATAAAAAATAATTTAAAAAAATATAGTAAGGCTCCAGAAAAGAAGGGCAGACTCTATCTTGGAGTTGTTTTAGTTCTGTTCGCCAATAAAAAGCAATAACCTGATTGTCTGGATGTGGAAGATGTGTTGCTGCATGTATGTGAGACCTGCATGTACATTTTTAAGTAAATGGTGTTTTTAACCAGTTCCATATTTCAGCACAAAGTTCTACTAACAATTACACAAATTTTGTATTTATGAAAACCAGCTACGGGAGGCAGCCTGGGCACTAGAAACTTCACTTGTAGCTTGGCAGGGCCATGTGCTAATTCTAGCCCTAGATTTTGTTCAAGTTACTTCCAGATAAAAACATTTAGTAGTAGGTACCTGACCGTCTAGGTCTCTGTTCTTTGGAGTGGTGACTGTGGAGGTCGGGTGCTGAGATGTCAGCATGGTGAGACCTCTTCACTCTCTCTACTCATCTCCCCCTCAAGTTGCACATATAACATGAGCAAAAAGTTAACACAGCCTAACTTGGTGAGTAGAGTTGGGTTTCATTTACTAGAAACTATAAATGCATCGTAGGTATGTACATACCTCAGTGTATGTAGTATACACAATACATGCAGTGCAGATTGTACGTTCTGACTGATTGGTATGACTTTTCTGAAGAAGTAATTTGTGTTTAGCTCTACGGTTTTGGAGATACCCAAACATGACTTTGTCTAACATGGATTATGATGATTCCTTAACCTATTCCTGTACATCACAGTTTATAATAAAAGATATAAGGAATGTATATTTTTAATTTCTAAGGAGATCTAGTTTCTCCTTTTACGTGGAGCTGTTAGCTATGTGTAATCATAGGCCTTGAGAATGCGTTACTGTGTTTTATTTTTTTATTTTTATTTTTTTAAAAGATTTATTTATTTATTTATACAGGCACTGGGTACAGTCAGAAGTGCGGGAGGGTGAGAGAATTCACCAGAGCCAGAGCAGGGAGCAGAACAGGCAGAAGGACCAAAGTACACTGCTGAGGGGAGCAGCGGGTGGCAGGAGAGGTCTGCGCGCCATGTGGGGACCTTCCTCAGGTGGCCGGGGATTAGCCGGGGATCAAACCAGCACTGCAGAGGCTGCTGGCAGCTTTGCAACCCAGCGCTCAACTGCTGTGCCACCGGGGAGGCCCCGTTACTGTGTTTTAATGGTGTAACATCTTGACGTTTTATTTAACAGGTAGTATATTTTGCAGTATTTGGCACCTGTTTTTGATATTGATTAGCACCATTATATTTCTCAGTGATTATACTAAAAAGGCTAACAAACTAGTGAAAATTTTGCTTGCTGGTATTTTAATGATTTGGTATCTATATTAAACTATGTAGCCAGCTTTAACAGTTTTAACAGTTTAATAAACATAAAACTACTTTTACATGAAATACTGTAATATTGATTTTTTTAATTGAGTAATTGTAAGGTACATAAAATGAATGTAATGGGAAATATCTTTAATTTTGTTCTGTTTAGTTCTCCAGCTGTGTGTGCTGCACATATCTAATCTATGTCTAACTATATTAAGTCCTTTTGTTTTGAAATAATTTAAGTTTGATTTGTTTAACTTTCAAATAATTTGAGTTTTTAAAGTATTATTTATTTTTGAGGCAAAATGATAAATATGGGACAATTCTTTGAAAATATTCTGTTTTACTTTACCCAGAACCATTATTAGTTACATTGTTTCATGGACTCAATACTATGACTAGAAGACTATTAATTACTTTTAGAAACATTTAAATTGAGGTGTTATTGATATATGATGAGGTGCACATATGTCAGAACATATCAAACTGTATCCTTTTAATATTAACACACCCTTGAGACCACTACAATTAAGATAATAAAAAATTTATCATACCCTCAAATTTTCTAGTGCCCCTTTATCATTCTCCCTTGTTTTCCACTCCACACTGTCCCCCCTCCCCTGTTATCACTAATTAGTTTTCTATCACTATAAATTAATTTACATTTAAAAAATTTTTAAACAAATGGAATTAGATAGTGTGTATTCATTTTGTCTGTCTTTTTTTTTCCCAACCACCCTTTTATTATCCACATTGCAGCATGTATTTGTGATTTATTCCCTTTCATTGCTAAGTGTTTCAGTGTACATTTTATCTTTCACCTTTTCATGGTCATTTGGATAGTTTCCAGTTTTTGTCTATTGAGATAACAGTGTTATGAATATTTATGAACAAGTCTTTGTATAGATATATGCTTTCATTCTTCTTGGATGATAGATGAAAATTTAACTTTTAAGGAATTGGTAAACTATTTCAGAAAGTGGTTGTGCCAGTTTTGTTCCCATCAACAGTGTATGAGTGGATTCTAGTTGTTCCACATTCTCACCAACACTTGGAATGGTCAGTCTTTTAATTTTAGCCATTCTTTTGGTATGAAGTAACTTATTGTCATTTTAAATAACATTTAATACAAGTCTTTTGTCAGATACATTATTTGTAAATGTTTTCTTCCCAGAGTATAGCATCTCTTCTCATTTTCATAAAAGGTGTCTTTTGAAGAGTAAGACTTTTTAATTTTGATGGAGTCTAGCTTTTTAGTTTACTTTTGTCAACTGAAATAATCATTGCTGTGAAGCCGTTCTTTAAAAGAAACATTTATTTGAAATATTATTCAGAGCAAACTGAGGTTTTAAACCCAAGAGGCAACATGAGCGTTCTCTTGAGTGCTAGTCCTGCCTTTCAGATGTGTTGGTCTCAGTTATATAGTTTGTGCAGGTCGACTACTGCACAGAAGAAAATAAAGAAATAAAGGTGACATACTGTGTTACAATCTTAGAGAAAAAGGAAGAATGTTATATATAATGCCCAGCATGTTTTCTTACTCTGCAGTCAGTGTTATTAAAATAATGCCAAGGTGGGCCTCCCCGGTGGCGCAGCAGTTGAGCGCTGGGTTGCGAAGCTGCCCGCAGACTCTGCAGCGCTGGTTCGATCCCTGCCTGCTCCCTGGCCACCGGAGGAGGGTCCCACATGGTGTGCGGACCTCTCCTGCCGCCCGCTGCTCCCCTCAGCAGTGTCCTTCGGTCCTTCTGCCTGTTCTGCTCCCCACTCTGGCTCTGGTGAATTTGCTTACCCTCCCGCGTT